TCCTTCCCCGTGACTTGATGCAGTGGCAGAGGATGCTGCATTGAAGATAATGGGAGAGTTGGCAGTGCTGTGTGTGAATGACTTCCAGAGACCCATCTACACCCCTGCAGCTCAGGTTGGAGGCTGTAGTGATGGGATATGAAGTGAAGGGAGATCACAAGCCTTGACGGAAGGCCAGTTTGTCCATGTAGACATGAGGGGGTGGAAGACACCCTTAAAGGAAAACCCTTTATGGAGGAAATATCGTCTGGAGCTAAGAGCAACATGAGGAATAACAACAGTTTTTCTCAGGAACTGTTGAAGTCCATTCCTAAGGCTTGAAAATGAATGGGTCTGCTTCAGTGTCAGTGTGTGGAAGCTTTGAACCCCTTCTGGGGATAAGTGGGGGGGCAAAGGTCCTCTCTGCTCACAGAGGAAAGGGTCTGGGGGAATCGCACCTGCAGTTTCTTTGGCATGGCTGGAAGATGCTCTGGAGAAGCTTCATTTCATGCTGCTGGCAGTTACTAAGCAAGGAAAGCTTTTGCAGTTCCCTGCAATGAGTTCAGGGCATGGCCAGTGGAACAATAAGTATGTGTGTATCCTTCCCTGAAAAGATGTCTGTCTGTTGGGTCATGCCATTTGTCTGTTGCTGCAGCTTGTCCTGGCATTTCCTCCCTTCCACCGTGCCATGCTTCAGGGGTGGGAGTTTCCAGCCTGGCTCAGGTATGCTGGCTGAAGCTTTCAAGACAGATTTGAACTTTCAGATGTTAAGTCTTCCAGTGAAAACAGACATACGCTGTGCTGGCAGGGCATTAACAGGGGTTTTGTGCATGTAGGTGGAGGAGCTGTGTACAAGGCCAAAAGTGAGCTGGTCTGGACTCTCTTGGCATCTTGTGCCTCTCCAGAAGTGGCTCGCCAGCCTGTTGGGAAGTTAAATGGAGGAGGGAGCAGAGATTGTTTGCATTTGTGAGAGTCATGCAAACAGGAGTCCACATCTGCTCTGTCCCCGCTGTGCTCTCTTCCCCCAGATCAAGCCTCTCCTGGTTTTTCTTCCTTATTTTCCTTCTCTAGAGCCTCTTCTATAAGCTCATCTCATTGTGGAGCTCAAAAATCTGGCCCTCATACACCGTATTTCCTTGTTTTATCTGGTGTGTGCTGCTTTTCCTGCCAGTGCTTAATTTTACCACCTTGTGTGTCCTTACCCCTGCTTGCTAGCTTTTGTGAAGCGGGATGTGCTGCAGTGTCTGAGTTTGGCATAGGCCTTGTCTTCGGTTTCTCTGCAAAACCTCAAGGGGAAATAACAATCTTCAGTCCAAAGAACTGCCTTATCCTTTCCTTACAAGGAAGAGAAGGTAAGTTTGGGCAGCACCTAATGCAGCAGTGCTGTTGGCTTCTGGGTGCAGAGTTGCAGGGGGGCGTAATCCATCTTTACAGGTGAGATTCTCCTATGGCATTGGGGTGCCCTTTAGCTCCATCAGCAGATGGAGTCCTGGGGACTCTCTGGCCTCTCTAGAGAGGTATGTCTGAAAACATGCTGAGAGTGTTTGCCAGGAGATAACCACATTCCAGGGAGTGACTCTTTTGTCTTGCTAAAATCGAGGAAATCTGATCAAAGAGCAGCTTTGCTTTAGACTTTTTCCTCCTCCTTTTTGACTTTGTCCCTGACCTACATATCGGATCCTGCCACACTGCTTGGAAGTAATTGAGAACCCAGTGTTAGGCTACTTACCAAGCTGTTCACTTGAAAATAACCTTATTGTGTCCAGTCCACACCTGCTCTGGGATAATTTTGGAGACAAATTACAACCCTTTCAGCCACATGCAACCTGCTCATGATCTAACTGCGGGGTGAGGTGATACCTCTGCTGATGCCAGGAGGAATTTGTGACACAGGCTGCGCTTCAATGCTTGTTTCCCAGCTCCATGGATGTTTCCAACTAGCTGCCCACATCCAAATGAAGACACTTCAGGCACATCCTTGTAAAAGTTCCCACTGGGTGGCTGTTGGTTTGGTGTTGAGTCTGCTAGACTAGAGTCTACACTGGAAAATATGTGTGTTGGGGGTGTATTTTCTTTGTTATCCCAGTGGTTGTTTCTGATTAAAGGCTCTGTTTTGAAGGGGCTGCTAGTCAGTTGCCTAGAAAACTTGCTTTCATTTAATTAATCATGATGAGTTTAGTCTGGAGGTTTTGTAGGAGAGAGCAAGCAAGCATGTCCTTGGCATTTCTCCCTTGGAGGAAAAAAACCCCTGGGCTTCATGTCTGAAACTGCAGCTCTTTTGTCTCCCCAGGTCGACATCCTTCTCTGTTCTTCGGGTTTTCATTTTACAAGCCAGAGGTAGATGGGGTTTGAAGTCCATCCAGGTGTGGAATGAGGAAAGAACCGGCAAGAAGATTACAGGAGCTATTCTGCAACTCATTAACTCAGTCTCTTCCCCTTCTTGTTATCTCCTCCCCATGCCTGGGGCCTTTGGACCTAGTGCTCTAAGTGCTTCTCACTTAATCTAGCCCACCTGGACAGGTGTATGAAGAAAGGAATTGCCTTCCAGGGGAGGACTAAAGGAGCAGAGATTGCCGAGGGAGGCTGCCTTTGGGAACTGCTAATCCCAGTTTAACATTATGACAGCTGCTTGTTAAAACCAGGGTGTTTTTTAACAGGCAGTTAAAGGAGAGGCTTTGCACGCACATTTAGCTGAGAATAATAGTGAACCATGTGCATTTGATTCCTTTTTTTTTCCCCTTAAATCACGCAAATTGTACATGGAAAGAATTCGCCGGCGTCAACTTGCTGGGTATGGAATTTACAAGGTTTGCAGTAACATACAGTTTCCTGTTGAAAGGGTGTGTGTGGGGGGGGTGAAAATTACAAAGCTTTCTTTTCTTTTCCCCTTTTAAGATCAAGTTCAAACCTCTCCCATCGATCCGGCCTCTTCGGAAGGTGGATTTACCGTATTGGGGTTTTTTCAGCCGTCTTGGTGGCAGATTGTCATGTAAACTTGTCTAGGTTCTCGTTTTTATAGCTACATGTAAAGGCTGCTCATAAAGTGCAATTTTGTCTATGGTGAGAAGGCAGCATGCAGATCTAATTTGGGAGAGTCTATAGCCAAAGAAAGAAGCAGAGGTTTCTCTGCCTTGGGGAGAGCGCTGTTTCTTCCGAGCTGAACTTCAGTAAACTTGGTCTATTAACATGATTTTCTCTGCAGGACTGTGGTGTTGGATAAGACACATGAAGAGCTGAGGCAGAGGAGGGACTATCAAAGAGACATTTGCTGTGTTTTATGTAATTTCACTGCAGACTTTACCAACTGCCTCTCAGATCAGTGGTTATTTGCTCGTTGATTTCTTGTAGGCAGTGCTGTGGAAGTAAGAAACTGCAGCTCCTACACAAGCCCCCACATCCACTCAGGGAGAGGTGTCCTGCCAGCCCTGAGGCATGAAGGGCAGGTCTGTGATGCAGAACCATTAACATTGCCCTGGGTAGTTTTGCTGCTGGAAATCCTTATTCCTGCAGCTACTTAGGTTCAGGCAAATTAATTTAACCCACCAGGACTGAGCAGCTAGCCTTGGAATGGGAGTTTCTCTGCTTCAGTTTTGGCAGCTCTACTCCAAATCACTTGTGGATGGGAATATCCTTTCTGACTGCTGAGAAATGCCACTCTCTTGTGGCCTTTTCTTCAGCTGGCTGTATTGCTACCTGGGATTTTCATGTGTGTTTCCAGCAGCAGCATCTCCAGCTGTTCCCCTCTCTGTTTGACAGAAATCTGGCTGTTTCAGAGCTGCAGATGAGCTGGGAGTTTTCCAGACCCACATCTGTCTAAAAGAAGCTGGTGTGAGCAGTGAACTTCTCTTTTGACCCAACACAACTTGGTACAGCCTCAAGGGACTGATGCTGCCAGTTCGACTCTGCCTCCTTTACAGTGATAATGAACTAGCCCTTGTCACACACTTTGGAGGAAGCATCTTGGTGACATAGGCTGAGAGTCACGAGGCTTTTTAATCTTAAGGGTGTAACTCTTAAACTGCAGCATAACTTCCCTTTACCCCCCAGCTTTAAAAGACTAACCCATTGTGCCACGCTGAGTAATACTATTTCTCTTCCCCAATGTTCTGTTACTCACCAGGTTGCTATCATGTAGAATACTTGCTGATGGGCTTTCTTTTTTGTATGGCTCTCATTACATTATACATTACATTATACATACATGTATAAATGGCTTTAACTTTTGCTGTTCTCTTCCTTTGCTCTGTAGTTATAACCCTCTCATGTTGTTGTATTGGGCCTCTTGCTTGCTGGAAGGCAGACCCAGTGGTGCGGTGTAGGCAAGAATAGCTGGGAGGGCAGGAGGAGAATGCAGATTTCTGTAAGAGGGGGCCAAAAAGGCTGAGGCTGTGGATTAAGATAGTAGAACCCAAAATTCAAGTGGCAAACAGGGATATGTGACCTGTGTTTCTGTTAGGGCAAATTGCCGTGGTACCAAGACAGGTTTTCTGCCACTTGGATTAAGAAGGAGGATGCAGTGTGTGTGTGTGTGTGTGTGTGTGTGTGTGTGTGTGTGAGCACACACACTTCAATGCTTATCTGCAGATCTGAGCTTTCTAAACTTGCCCATGCTCTAATTGCAGAGTGTAGACTCTGCATGCAGAACAACCCAGCCTGAAGTGATAATCCCAGGCTCAGCCCTGAGGGAATGCCTGGCACTGCTCTGGCCTGATTTTCTTAATGGCTCTGCAGCTTGCCTCTGGTTTGTAGGTGGTTCAAGTTGTTATGTCTGAGCTCCTTGCCCAAAACTTCTTCCTCCTTCCCTATGCTTGGGTTTGTGTTAGCTCAAAGACCCTGAAAAGGGGTGCAAGCCTGTACTCCTTGCTGACATAGAGGAGAGCAGGAGATCTTGACTTGCAGCTGCCTCCTCTGAACAACCCTTCCTTCTCCTCACCGCCACATGATGTGTATCCATGCGATCCTCTTCTCTTGCACTGGAGAATTCCTCTTTTTCCTTGGCTAATAACCTCTGTCTGATTTAGTTTCCAGGCGGATCGCCCTGCATTAAACGTCGTCATTTTCCCTCTGCTTCATGAGGACTTGACAGAGGTCATCAGAGATGTCCCCATGAGGCACTTGGATGAAATTACCTTGTTTAAAAGCAGAGTGGCCGAGGAACCTCCCAACTTGTGGTGGTGACTCTCACAGCATGGAAAGGACAGTCAGCGTGAACACAGTTGAAATAGCTTCTTGTTGGCCTGGATTCCCCATCCTTCAGCTCCTGGCCGCCTCCCTGGATGCTGTACAATCACTTGAAATAGGTGCAATTGCAAAATGAAATAAAAGCTGGTCCTTTGCAGTGGGGAAACCATCTATTGGATATTGCTTGCATCTGAAAATCCTCTCTCCAAGGCTTCTGGAATCTGATGAGTATTTCCTCGCGGTTAATAGGAATTGTTTTGTTGTTTTACTGAAGTTAAAGGTAAGAGAAACTGACTTAATGATGCTCTTTGTGTCGCCTGGTGTATTTCCTAAAGGGCCCCTGTGTACTTCAGCAGTGTGCTTTGTGGTATTGGTGGAAATCATTCTTTGCTTCAGTTTGTTTTTGGCAAAGTAGAAAGCCTAAGCCAGCTAAAAGGCACAAAAATGTGTTGCTCACTTGAAGTGCATCACATCTTTTCTATGTTACAAGTACACATTTGTGGTCACACACATGCAATCCCAGCTATTGAAAGGGGTTTATTTCTGATGGAGAAGTGCCACAAGGACTCTCTTTTTATTTTGAATAGCAAATTAAAGGTCATTAGTGCCTCGACCATGGTATGTTCTTGCTGATGCTGTTTCCATCCGTCTGGTGGAAGGAGTTCTCAGCTCTTTTGGAAATCCATGTCCTAGGGGTAGATGGTGCCTACCGTGAGTAAGTTGAGGCTTGGATCTGCTTTTAAACGTGGTCTGTCTTGCAGTGTAGATGGGAATGTAGTGTTTCAGTTCTGTCCTTAGATCCCATGCCTTGAGCTCATGCTAATTTTAGAGATGTTAGGAAGTATTTTCACAGTGTGATTTCAGTCAGCTTCTCTGCTCCACAGAACTTCCTCAGGCACCAGTAGTGGTCTGGATCACTTTCATATTGCCTTATTTACTGAGCACTTTTGAAAGCATCAGACAGCTGTACCAAAAGCCAAGTTAGGAATTCCTGGAGCTATGTTTCTGGGTGGCAGTCGGATTTCCCTTCTGCTGGAGTGTTTTGTGGTAGCACACTGGGTCTGTCTTCTGCAAAACAGCTAACAGGAGCTGTCTAACTTCTCCACCTAGACATTCCCTAATGTGTTGAGCAGTGCTTTTCTGAGGAAGCCCAGATGCATCATCCAAAGATGATGTCCCCATCTCCTTGTTGGCATTTTCTACATGAGATGCCGTCTCCCAAAGAGTGTTCTGCCATCAGCGGTTCATAGGAAGCCTGGTCTGATGGGATTGATATGAGAGCAAAAGCTTTGCAGGACTTTCTCTCCTTACTTTCCCATCGGTCAGGTGTGAACCTGCCTGGAAATCTGTCTTGCTGGTGTAAGTCTTGAGCCACACTGCTGTAACCCTTGGGCTTGGCTAGGTTAGGGTGTTAACAAGCAGGTTAATGTTAGTTAGCCTTCTACTAGCACAAGTCTGTGCATTGCTAACACTACCCCCTGCATGTGGTTGCTCTCTGCCCTGAGTTTCTCTCCCTTCCCTACTCAGGACAGGGTGCCAGCATGGTCTGTGGTTCACAGCTGGTAGCAAGGTGGTGAAGCTGGCTCGTGCTCCTCCGGGAATGGCTGCAGCTCCTCAAGTGGGTGAGACTCTGCCTCGGGTTAGACACCATGCTGGTGAGTGCGAGGAGCTGCTGCCCTGTTCTTGGCATCCTGCCACTGTTTTCTCTCCTGCTCTCCCAACGAGGTCATTCTTTCTACCTCTTGTCATATTACTTGCCTGTTTGAATCCCTCTCTCCCTCTCCAGCAGCTTTTGTCTCTCCTCCTCCCTCGCTTCAGCAAATCAGATGTACTTTTTGGCAGGAACACAAGTCTCTGCTCTGTCCAGTTCAGTCCACCTCAGCTCTGCCTAGCTTTTGTCCATGTTTCTTTCCTAGAATAAATAGCAAGGGATAGGCAGTGAGTGTTTCCAAAGCTGCTTTCTCCTTATTTGAAGCATTAGCAGAGCTGCTTTCTCCTCCTCGTGCCTCTGGCCTCAGGGCAGTGTAGTGGGAAGGCTGAGGGTATGGAGCTCTGATGCCTGATGGGAACTGTTTTGGGGAATCTCAAGGTTTGGTACATGTTACAGGAGTGAGGCCATTCCCACCCTCAGCAGGGATTTCCCCTCCACATACACAGTGTGGCACCAGCAAGAGTTTGGCAGAACCATGTTCCTATCCCACTGCAAAACCTGGGTTGGGGGACAGTGGAATGCAGAAAACGCTCACTGCTTCATGGTGGTGTTAACCCTTTGGTCTTGGGGGTTAGAACAACCTGATGAAACATGCTCTGTCTTTTGCTTGGCAACGTGATACCCATCTGCCTCGTGTCTTGCAATCAGGCATGTTTTATAACACCATTATTCTGTTGCCTGGAGTAGGACGTTTAGACATCTGTATTCATACAAGCGGGTCAGAAGGCCTGATGCAAACGCTACCAGTTATAATCAGGGCTAGGAAAGGTCACCCACAGGTAATAAAGATAGCACCACAAATAATGCTAAAGAGCTAAAAACTCCTTCCACCCTCGACTTCCCAATTCCGGGCCAGTGCTCGATACCTCTCCTACAAATCCTCTTCTGGTGAGTGAGAATTTCCGCTGCTTCTGCACTCCAGGCAGGATTCACCAGATGTTAATAATGTGCTTATTTTCTCTAAGTGCTATTTTGGCATCGGTGTTAATTACAATTTATATTCTGCAACATTTACACTGGGAAAAGAACCCACCCTAATAGTCCCCAATTGGCAGAGCCGGGCTATTAAACATCACACCATATGTTCTGAGCAGAGCAATATATGGGACTCGGAGCCCACTCAGCGCTGAGACTCTGGTGTGCAGCATCAGAGGAGGAGAGGAGAACAGAGAGATGGGTGGTTTGTTCCTAGCTTTTACTAATATGAAATTCCCCCTCCTTTTCTCTGGTCTCTGTCCCCATCTCTCCAGAAATCTCTCTGCCTGCTATCTATAGGCATCTAATGAGGTGACCTCTGAGCCTGCTGATGCCACTGTCCATACTCTAAAATAAATGAATTCAATTACAGAAGGTGCCCTTCTCACAGGGAGCGCCTCTGCAGGATTCCCACTCCCTGCTGGCGTGTGTCTTGCTGTGCTCCAAATCAGACCTCTGATCTTTGGGGAATGCAGAAGAAATCTTTGCTTTGACCACAAAAGAGGTACCCACATTTCTCTGGGAGAAGGATATTCTGGGTCAAGTGCCATTAGTGTGGAAAATCAGAAGTTGTTGCTCTGCTAAAATCCAAAGTCGTCTTCAGCAAAGTGGCATTTGGTTCCTGCAGGATAGGAGGATCCTGACCTGAAGAGTGATAGTGGTTTTGGTGTGGGGAGTTTGGTGGGGCTGAGTTGTCAGTGTTCTGGTGTGGTTCTTAGCACTGTAGGTTAAAGGATTGCTCCTCACTGTTCTCCAAAGCTGATTTCATGGTCTCTTGAGGAAATGGCAGTGTACCCACTGCTCGGTTTGGAAAGGGGGCTGTGTGGCAACGGCCTCTCCCTTCAGGAGAGCTTGGACTGCAGTCTCTTTTCTATGGAGGAGGTGGTTGGGCAGGCACAGGAGAGATGGGAGGTGGAGACAGGGCAGGACGGTGTCATGGACCTCGGGCTGGAAGCCAGACACACACCATGAGACTTGGCCTCACCACTTGCAGGGCTGGGGTGAATCTGCATGACTACCTCCTTCCTCCTTTGCCCAGGCCTGCTCCCAGGGGAACAGAGCAGGGTCCATCCCTTCCCCTTGCTGATATTCAGAGGCATGAAAGTCCTGGGATGACGTACAGGAACGGGACTGTGCATTGTGAGGTGCTGGGTGCTTTCATTCAGCGTCCCTTTTTCAGGATGGGGTATTCCCTGTGGCCACAGGAACGTGGGGCTTTTCCTTTTGGGAGTTAACCGGTGGAGAAGAGTCGTTTTGTCTGCTTAAAGGAGATGCAATCCCCTTTGGCTGGTCCCAGCAAAGAGTGTCCAGCCAAAGCTCCTCTCCCCTGGCTGCAGGAGCCCAATGCAGGGAGCCACGTCGGGAATTGCGGAGGCACATCTTCATTGCAGCTCTCCTGCCTCTCTGATTAGATGTGCAGGCAGCCGGGGAACTCCAGCAGGAGAATCATTTCCATAGAAACCAATTGGGATGTTGTACAGGGAATAATGATTAATAGTGAAGGGATGTTGCCTCAGGCCCTTTTCATTTTTTAGGGGGCAGTGAGGGACAAACTGGAGCACAGATTGGGGGGGGACAGGCAGGCTCAAAAACTAATGGAAACCATCTCTTCCATTAATTTCCAGGGCAGCTTCCACTCTTTTCCTCCTGACTGCTGCTTCCCAATTTTCAAAATGGCTAACCTGGTTAGAAATAATGGTAAGAATAAAAAAGGATGGATGAGGTCTGCCTACTAACATTGTTGCTGTTAGCAGCAGGATTTCAGCCATAAAACATGAAGCAAGGGAGGCATTGACCTTTCCGCTGGTTGAAATGAATGGAGACATCAATATGTATTGTTTCGTGGCATTGACCTCTGACGCTCTCCTTTTGCCCTCCCCTTTCTCTTGTTTCTTTCATTCCCCCCCTGACACTGGAGGAAAGGGGTCAGTTTGTACCATCTATTGATCCCCATCTGACTTGGTGATAGGGAAATAATTAGAATCTTAAAGATCTCTGCTGCATGTGTTGATGTGAGACACACAGACACACACACTAAGCCCACACTTCCTCACAGAGATCCAAAGCTCTGCGATCTGAAGGGAGGCAGATCAATACAGGTTTAATCATGATGGGGGGGTTATTTCAGTGTTTTAAATGGTAAAGTGTAACGTTTTATGTTAATGTTGTCAGAGCCTGGCTGCCTGGTGCCTTGTTTTATTTATTCTTTCAAGTAGCCCCTTCTTTTGTGCACTTCATCTATGCACAGAGAATGGGAAATCAGGCATTGCTAATTAGCTGTATGACAATTAAGTAATGTAGCACAAAACCATTAGGACACTGGATTTGGTTTTGAAGTTGGCCCTTTGAAGTAGAAGCTGCAACTCCCTGCCCAAGGCTGCTGGGGAAAATGGTTTTCTATCAAAAACTTTCTTTGAAAAGAAAATGTCAGTGTAAGAGTCCCTATTTCTGTCGTCTCTCCCTATAAACAGCGGGTGGAAATTGTTTCTCATTGTAAAAACTGCTGGCATTGGTGAAAGGGGAATGCAGGGAAAGCATTAAATGGGCAGTTGGTCTCCAAACACCCTCGGTTCTGGAAGAGATGGTACCAAAACTGCTTGTTTAGCTTATTGAAAG